TTGCATCAGCCAAAATTTTTGGCTTCTCCATCTCAACCACATTCAAAGCCTTGCCAAGTCCTATTCCTTTTATGGTGTATCTTTTGTTTGCATTCGTTGCCTCTCCATCTTCAAAGCCACACTCCATTTCAGACCTCCCACTATCTCTCTTTGGGATAACTCCATGGGCTCCTTGCCTCCATTCTTTGCCACCTGTGCAAACTCCACACCCCTGACAGAGATCTGGTTCTAATTAGCTAATCTGACTGCTTGTCTTCTTCATACTCTATCAGCCTCAGGATAAAGCTTTGGGCTGGCATCCACAAGCTTGCATGGTCTGACCCTCTCATTCCCATCTCCATTACTCTAGCTACTCTCCTACCTTCTGTACATGCTGTCTTCCCCACCTGGAGCTCACTTTCCAAATCCTCTCTTGATGAACTTCATCTTCCACATATTGGATCAAATGTCTGGCACGCACGTACGCGCGTGAACACACACACACACACACACACACACACACACACTGTGCTATTAGCTGACTTAATACTCCCAAAAGCCCATGAGCTGCAAAGTTTGTTTCCATTTTACAATTGAAGACACTAAGCATAGAGACATGAAGGCATTTGCCCAAGGATGCACAGCTTCGCTAGCAATGGCAGGATCAGGGCTGGAACTTAGCTCTGTGGGACCCTAAAATGCCTGTTTTGTATGAGCCAGCAATCCCAGTTCTGGCAGTATACCCAAAAGAATTAAAATCTGGGTCCTAAAAAGATATCTACACTCCCATGTTCATTGAAGCATTTATTCACAATAGCCAAGATCTGGAAACAACTAAATGTTCATGAACAGGTGAGTAGATAAAGAAATCAAGGAAATGTGATACATCCACATAATGGGATGTAATTCAGCCTTAAAAAAAAAAAAAAAAAAAAAAAAAAAAAAAAAAAAAGAAGAAGAAGAAGAAGAAAACCCTGCCATATGCAATAACATGGATGAACCTTGAGGACATTATGCTCGGTGAAATAAGCCAGATATTTAGGAAAGATGAAGTTCTAGAGACCTGCTGCACAACATTGTGCCTATAGTTAGCAATACTGTACTGGGCACTGAACATTTTGTTAAGGCAGATCTCACATTAAGTATCCTTATCACAATTTTTTGTTGTTAATCTTCTGAGGATATTTTTTCTATTGATTTTTAGAGAGAGTGGAAGAGAGGGGGATATGAGGAGAGAGAGAGAGAGAGAGAGAGAGAGAGAGAGAGAGAGAGAGAGAGAGAGAAGAGAGGGGGGTGGAATTTGGATGTGAGAGAGACACATCGATTGGTTGCCTCCCAAACACACCCTGACTGGAATAGGGATCGAACCTGCAACGCATGCCCTTGACTGGGAATCGAACCCAAGACCTTCAGTGCTTAGGCTGACACTCTAACTATTGACCCACACCGAGCAGGGCAACACAATTTATTTATTTTAAATCTTTATTGTAGAAAGTATTACATAGGCCTCCCTTAAGTCCCCCATTAACCTCTTCCAGACCACTCCCATCTTCCCTCCGCCCCAGGCCCTCACCACCCCATTGTCTGTGTCCACAGATTATGCATATATGCATACAAGTTCATTGATTGATCTCTTCCCACCCACCCTCCCCTGCCTTCCCTCTGAGGTTCAACAGTTTGTTCATGCTTCCATGTCTCTGGGTCTATTTTTGTTCATCAGTTTATTTGGTTCATTACAGTCCACATTTGAGAGAAATCACGTGATACTTGTTTTTTCTGACTGGCTTATTTCGCTTAGCATAATACTCTCCAGGTCCACCCATGCACACTTTTTTTAAAAAAGTACACTCTGCAAGCATATCTCCACTTCTTCCTTACTGGATGGCTGCCAGCACACACATACTGCAGTGAGAATCTGTGTCTTGATCCACATTCCAATCCCTTAATAAATTCCATAATTTCTAATCCCAAGCCCTGGAAGCCAGAAATGTTTTGAAATCCAGAATTTGCAATGGTAATGTGATATATGTCACATATTAAGAGATAGAAACATCAATGATGAGAGAGAACCACTGATCAGCTGCTTCCTTGCACACACCCCACTGAGGATCAAGTCCACAACGTGGGCATGTGCCCCGACCTGGAATCGAACCCTGACTTCCTGGTTCATAGGTTGACACTCAACCACTGAGCTGTAATTAAATTAAGGAGAGGTCATACTAGATGAGTGTAGGCCCTACATTCAATATGACTTGTCCTTTCAGGAAGAGAAGAGAAATGAAAACAGAGACACACAGAGCGAAGAAGGCCGTTGAAGAGAGAGGCAGAGATAGGAGTATTGCACCTATGAAGCAAGGAATACTGAGGATTGTGGGCAACTACTGGGAACTGGAAGAGGCAGGTAAGAATTCTTCCTTAGATATGCTTCCTTAGAGCCTCTAGAGCAGTGGTTCTCAGCCTTTCTAATGCCGCAACCCTTTAATACAGTTTCTCATGTTGTGGTGACCCTAACCATAAAATTATTTTTGTTGCTACCTCATAACTGTAATTTTGCTACCTCATAACTGTAATTTTGATACTTATATTATGAATCATAATATAAGTATCTGTTTTCTGATGCTCTTAGGTGACCCCTAGCAGGGCCGCCTAAGAGCATTGGAAAACACAGATGCTTGCATTATGATTCATAACAGTAGCAAAGTTACAGTTATGAAATAGCAACGAAAATAATTTTATGGTTGGGGGTCACCACAATATGAGGAACTGTATTAAACGGTCAAGGCATTAGAAAGGGAGAGTACTGCCGAAACTGGTTTGGCTCAGTGGATAGAGCACCAGCCTGCAGACTGAAAGGTCCTGGGTTCGATTCCGGTCAAGGGCACGTACCTTGGTTGCAGGCACATCCCCAGTTAGGGGGTGCAAGAGGCAGATGGTCGATGATTCTCTCTCATCGACGTTTCTAGTTCTCTATCCCTCTCAATTCCTCTCTGTGTAAAATCAATAAAATATATTGAAAGAAAGAAAGAAAGAAAGAGAGAGAGAGAGAGAGAGAGAGAGAGAGAGAGAGAGAGAGAGAGAAAGAAAGAAAGGGAGAAAGAAAGGGTGAGAACCACTGCTTTAGAGGAACCATGGCCCTGCTGGCACCTTGATTTTGGACTTCTGGCCTCCAGACCTGGGGGACAATACTTGTCTGTTGTTTTAAGCCACCCAGTTTGTGGCCCTCGGAATCTGCAGGGTGGGGCAAAAGTAGGATGACAGTCATTTGTATGGAAAATAATACAATAATTAATAAATAATACTAAAAGAATAAAGTCTGTGTTTTGTGTACTCACAACCGTAAACCTACTTTCGTCCCACCCTGTCATAGGGTTTTCCAAAAGGCATAGGGCTTCCCATGTCACCAGGAAGGGGCAAGTAGAAAACCTAGGTCCCTCTTCTATCTCTCCAGGGTTCTGTGGTCTCACCTGTGAATTCCTGTGCATCTTCCTCCTCTCTCTCTCTCTCTCTCTCTCTCTCTCTCTCTCTCTCTCTCTCTCTCTCTCCATATGGGCCATTTCATGCTTCTCTCTCCTGTAGAGGTGCGATTTCCTGACTAACACTGCCTGTGAGGTCAAGCCCGCCCACTTTGTGGAGATTGGCTCAGCTTGCGTTATGAATCCACCCAATCAGCTGTGCCAAGGGAAGGCATCACCTGGTGGCAAGGGTATTATTCAATGGACAACAACCAGTGTAGCCAGACGCTGACCAATCAGATTAGACTGTGGTCCCTGGACCAAGAATTCTGGGGACTACCTTCCCCACGAATTTTAGGGATGCACCAAGGGTTAAGGCTTTGGATGGTTGGTCACAGGGGCCATCCTAGGGGTCCAAAGGAAGTATCCAGGAATGGGGACTACGATTAAGGGATATTTGCCAACCAGCACAGAACTAATTTAATAATTTAATGCCTAGTATGGCCATGCTCATGGGTGTAAGCTCAATGTCATTCTGCCCACTCAGGAGAGACAAACCCCTGGAGTAGAAATGGAAGAGGCAAATGCCATTCATTTTCACTTCCACATTTTTGCTGTCCATCCCACGCCCTCCTGTCTGACCACTGCATCTCACTCACCCCTTCCTTCTTCTTAAGACCAATCAAAGTAGGCTCTGTGGAGACTTCTCCGTCCACCCAGCCCCTTTTGTCCTAGATCTGAAGGAAAGCCTTGGTCCAGCCAGTTTATATGGACCAGGGCAGATGTTCTGCATGGTGACAAAATTATGGGGCAGGGAGAACTGGCTAGGTCTGGAGAAAGGGACAGCATGCTGGTGCTGTGTTTTCAACCCGTTATCTGATTTTGTAAATAAGTTGCTCATGTTTTCACAAGCAAGTGAAGTGTGGACATATATCTTTGGCCTGTTTTATCTTAGTCTTTTTTTTATTATTATTGATTTCAGAGAGGAAGGGAGAGGAAAGAGAGATAGAAACATCAATGATGAGAATCATTGATTGGCTGCCCCCTGCACTCCCCCTACCTAGGATCAAGCCCTAACCCAGGCATGTGCCCTTGACCAGAATCGAACCCAGGACCCTTCAGTCTACAGGCTGACACTCTATCCACTGAGCCAAACAGGCTAAGGCTTATCTTAGTTTTTAAAAGATAAAGTCATGTAGGAAAATTCAATCTACATCACTACTTTGTCACTTGCACGCAGGATTGACTATGGGGGGGCGGAGGGTGAAATTGTGTGTCTATTATAAATTTTGTAGGCATAAATAATTGAGTAGACACCATTTGTGAATAAAATAGAGCATACTCTTCTTTGTAGATTCTATGTAATTCATTGATTCTCTACAGAATGCCTTAATTTTTCCCACTCTTGTACCCATACTCAACCCTGCATCTGAGGGACAAACAAGTGATGAAGATTGTATTTTCTTTTAAAGACTAAGATAAGCCCTAGCCAGATTGGCTCAGTGGATAGAACATCGGCTTGTGGATTAAAGGGTCCCAGATTCAATGCCCAAGTTGTGCAGGAGGCAGCCAATCAATGAGTCTGTCATCATTGATGTTTCTCTCTCTCTTTCTTCTCCCTTCCTCTCTGAAATCAACTAAAAAATAATAATAATACTAAGATAAAACGGGCCAAAGATGTATGTCCACACTTCACTTGCTTGTGAAAGCATGAGCAACTTCTTTACAAAATCTTATAATGGTTTGAAAACACTAGATGAAGACTTCCTTGGTGTTTACAACATAACAGATAGAGACAAGATGCCGTTTTAAGTCTAATCTACTTGTTTAACATCAATTCCTCCATCACTTTCAGTCTAGATGACCACAGACAATAAAGCAAGCCCTGGCTTGTTGCATTTGCTGATTCCCGTGGCTGATTTTAAGTTACTGGTGTGACAGCACTGAACAGAGCTGGCAAGTGATTTCCTGCAGAACTGTATTCTACAGTATTTCCACCACCCACTTACCATAGAGGAAAATAACCTCAAGAGCATACAAATAGTAAAATGGAAAAAAAAAATCCTTAACACATACAGTAGCTATGAGTCTCCGATAACACCATCTGGTGTACAGTAAAAAGCTCAGTAACGTCATCATTAAATTTATAAATAGTTTATTTCCCAGTACCATCCACCAACTCACACTGCCCCCTGGCCCAGGCACAGCAGGTCACAGACAATCACAGTCACAGTGGCAAACCAGCCCATGAGACGTCAGCTTGGCAAAAGCTGGAGTTTTGGTCTATTTTGTTCGTTGCTGTATCCTCAACACCTAAAACAGTGCCTGACACATCGTAGATAGTGAAACAAGTTGCATGAATGAAACTCACACAACAAAGAATTCTGCAGACCCCCTAAGCTACCCCACAAATCCCAAAGGGGGAGGCTAGGAATGAGTCTTTATTTCTCACATATTAACATAAGGATTTTTTGAAGTCTGTTTTGCTTGCTGCTGTTGTTTGTTTGTTTGTTCTGGTCTGTTTCTCTAGCTCTGCTGCACAGTGCCTGGCCTGGGCGCTCAATAAATATAAGTTAAACAGATAAATACAAAGCTCACTGTCTGAGCTCAGGCTTATAATAAATACCAAAGGTTTGACTTGGGACAGGGGTGCTAGAGGGACCAGGCAAGTCCCTGAGGAGGGGGTCAGCAGCCAGAACTCCTGCCCTGCCTGGTGAGGTAGAGAAGCCAGGGCCCGTCACCCGAGGGCCCCGCGGAAGAAAGGCAGGATTTAGTCTCCCTGCAGGGGGGTGGCAACCCTGCCTGCCTCATGAAGGATGTCCTGAGGGCAGTCCAGCAGGGACCTTGGTGGCCACTCGGTAGAGGCCCAAGACCGTGGCACCTTGTGCAAGCTGCCAGGTGAGGTGCACCCCAGCCACAGCACTGAGATGGACACCCAGGCGCTGGCCAGCACGCAGGTGCAGCAGGCCACTCCGGAAGCCAGCTGCTGAGTCCCGGGCTTCAGATGGCAGGTCCAAGGTCAGGGCCAGAGCCGCAGCCCCTGTGCCCAGTGGCTGCAGGTGCAAGGCAATGGAGACAGAGCCAGAGGCAGATCCGGACACCACACGTCGCAGCTCCAGGTGCAAGAAGACGTAGTAGATGCCGGCCTCAGACACGACCAGCTCCTGCGTGTGCTCATCGTAGCTCAGGCCTGGTGCCAGGAACACACCTTTCAAGCCAGGGTCACTGTGCCAATCCAGGAGCCCTTCCCTCAGCAGAACTGCAAGAGGAGGAAGGGGGAGGGGTTATCCTGGGCAAAGATGTGGCAGGGGCACAGCTTGGGGAGGGGGAGGAGGGGCCCTGAGGACAGAAGGGTTCTCAGAGGGAGGGAGGGCTAGGGGATGGAGGCAGGAAGGGACCGGAATGGGGAGGCTGTCAGGAAGAGGGAGGGGGAACTTGGAGAGGGCTGGGGTGGAAAGTGAGACACTTCTAGGAACAGACACTTGCAGGAGGACAAGCGATGCAAAAGGGGATGGGGAGGGGGGAGTAAGACCAGGGACAGGGGAGTGAAGGAAGGGATTTAGAGAAGGAGGTGGGGGGGGGGGGCCGATGGGACAGCTTGAAGGTGGGCACTCAGGAGAAGGAGGGGGAGGGAAAGTGGGCGGGGTCTCAGGAAGGAGGGCGGTCTCTGGACGAAGGAGGGAAGCCAGTGGGAAGGAGAGGGTGAACTTCCCAGAACCCAGGGTGAGAGACCTGACCAGGGTGGGGTTTGGGGATCCCGCCCCAGGCCTGAGAGAGATGGAAGTCAGCTGAGAAGCAGCGGGAGCACAGAGAGACAGGTGCAAAGAGGGGAGAGGACAGCTTTCAGAGAGAGAAGGAGTCGAGGGTCCCATTTAGTCAGAAGGGGGCCTCCAGCTCCCGGGACCCTCCCACTTAGTGTTCCCCTGCGGGGGGGCGGGGGGGGGGGGGGGGGGGGAGGAAAGAGGAGGAAGGAAGGGGAGAGGGATGGCGCAGGACACTCACCATCTCGGGCCACCAGCTGCGCGAACACGCCCACATCCTGAGGAGGAAAGGCAGAAAGTGAATGGAGGGTCCCCCAGCCGCTCCGCAGCCCCGTGCCAAGGGCCCCACCGCGTCTGCGCAGACCACACGCTCTCCTGTCCCCCTGCTCCAAAAGAGCACCCCAACACCCACGCTCAAGCACACCTCAACCTGGGGGCTCTACCGGCCCCAACCCGCGGGGGGGTGAGGGGGGGTCTGCAAGGACCGAAAATAAGGGTGATCCCTCCGGGTGCCCTTGGAACAGGGAGGTCTTGGAAGGAAAGGGGGAACACCCCAGGGGTCCGGGAGAAAGTCTAGGTCCTCCGGGAGTTAGGGGAAAAGTGGGGGGGGGGGGTCCCCTCAAAGGTTCGAAGTGCCCCTCGGGGTCCGCGATGGAGAAAAGGCCCCACCCTAGGGTGCCGGATGCAGATGGGGTCTCACGGGGGTAACAAGGCGAGAAGAGGTACGCCCCCCGAATGTCCTGGATAACGAAGGGGTGCTTCTAGGGGCTCGGGGTGCAGAAGGGGGTCGGCCCGGGGTGCAGGGTAGAGAAGGGAGGGGCGCGTCTCACCTGCGGGGAGTCGGGGAGGCGGGCCCGGGCGTCGGGGGGGCGCTCCGGGAGCCCCCCGGCGGGCGCGGGGCCGGGCCAGGCGCGGGCGGCGCAGGCGGCGCAGGCGGCGGCGAGCAGCAGCAGCAGCGCGGCGCTCAGCGCCCAGGGCAGCCGGCGGCAGGCGGGGCCGGGGGGCGCGGGCGGCCGCGGGGCCTCGGGGTCCGGGGCGGCGTCCGAGCTGGAGCTCATGGCCAGTGGCAGGCGGCTAAAACCGGGGTCCCCGGCTCCCCGCTTTATAGTGAACCCGGAAGCCCCGCTTTCCGGGGCGGAGACGGCGGGGATCCCAGCGCCCGCCCCCTCCAGCCAGACTTTCCCTGACTTTCTCTTCCCTGGATCTCATCTCTGTCTCCTTCCTCTCTCTCTCTCTCTCTCTCTCTCTCTCTCTCTCTCTCTCTCTCTCTCTCTCTCTCTCTCTCTCTCTCTCTCTCTCTCTCTCTCTCTCTCTCTCTCCCTCCAATCTCTGCCCCGCTGCTTCTTCTTTCCTCCACCTTCTCTCTGTGCTCCTGTCTCTCTCTTTCTCTCTGCCTCTCTATCTATTTATCTATCTATCTCTCTTTCTCGCTGCCTGTCACTGTCTCTCTGTGTCTCTTTCTGTCTCTCTGTGCCTCTCTCTCTTTGTCTGTGTGTGTCTCTCTATGCCTCTCTCTGTCTCTCTGTCTCTGTGTGTGTGTCTTTTTCTGTCTCTATGCCTCTCTCCTCTCTCTCCCTCTCTCCCCCCTCTCTCTGCCTCTCTCTCTCTCTCTCTCTCTCTCTCTCTCTCTCCCCTTCTCTCTCTGTCTCTCTCTCTGTGTCTCTCTCTTTATATATATCTCTCTCTCTCTTTCTCTCTCTCTCTCTCTTTCTCTCTCTCTCCCTCTTTCCCTCCCTCCCTCTCTCTGCCTCTCTGGATGCCTCTTTGTAATTCTGTGTCTCTCCTTTTATCTGTGTGACTCTCACCATTTGTCCCTGTGTCTGCGTTTGTCCCTGATTGTCTACATTGGGCTGGGTCTCAGCTATGGTTCTATCCCTTATTACATCTCTGTCTCTCTGGCTCTATGTCTCTGACTCTCCCTGTCTCTCAGTGCCCCTCCCTGTCTCTGTCTCAGTGTCTCTCCCTGTCCACCCTCTTCTCTCCCCCTGTTTCTTGCTCTCACTTTCTGAACCTCATTGTCTCTTTCCCCTCCTTGTCACTCCCACCCAGGTCCCCCAGGGATCCCCTAAATCCAGTATTTCTGCAGAACGGCCAGAGGACAGCCGAGCCTCAGCTGCCTTCTCCTGTGGAGCAAAACCCCCAGTGAAACCCTGAGTGCCATACTCTGCCCCCCCCCCCAACTTCTCTGGGACCCTAGCCCTTCCTCGGCCTGCCCCCACCTACCCACCTAGACCGCTTCCTGTCAGGAGCCTCCTCTGGACCCCACAAGCGGAAGGCTGGAGAGTCCAGGTAGAGAAATTCCCCTTGTAGGAAGAGGACACGAGTGAAACAGAGGAAATTCAAATTTCCCTTCACTCAGGCGGGGGTGGGAGGAGGAGCAGAGAAGCTGCCATAACTCAAAACCCAAAAGAGGAAGCAACCCTGGACTGAGAGATGGGAAGAAAGCCCTGCTCTGCCCAGACCAGCCGGGTGGACACTGGCCAGCCCCTGAGCTGCTCCGGGACTCACTGTCCCAGTGGTCTGAGGCCTCGGCCAGCAGGCCAGGAAATGCAGGGGGGTTTTGGTATAGGATGCCACGCTGTGCTCAATGTTCTAGCATTGGGCCTTGCTGGGGAATTACAGAGAGAAAAACCATAATGATGCTGGCTCAGGTTAATGCGCAGGTGCTAAATGCTTCCGTTATGTAATCGGTTTATAAAGTGTGATGTCCAAACCAACAGCGACAACATCACCTATACAAATTCTAGCACCTCTGTCAATCGACACTCTGGGAACGGAAAAAGCCCAGCCCTCAGCCCAGCCCTCAGCCCAGCAATCAGTGTTTGAATGAGCCAACCGGAAGATTCCAGGATTTGCCCGAGTTGGAGAACCCACTGCATTGGACCAAGGTTGTTCCTTCACCCTTGCAGTCCCTCTGACTGGAATGTTCTTTCTGCACATTGGCAGCCAGCCTGGGCTCCCACCATCCTTCTGGGTAAACATGACGAACGGGGCATCAGCCTTTACTTTCACTCTTCTGAAGCCCCACTGGCCTGACCCGAAACAAAACAGCTAGCCAGCAGGGTGGAAAGCCAACTATTATTTGCCTCTTGGAATTTCACCAGCACCATCCGCCAAAGTTCAGTCATTGGTGACTCTTGCCAACGCTGAAGGAGGGGGTGATGCGTGGCCACTAAAACAGAAGAGTTTACTGAAAGTCAATTCCCAAAAGAGACATCCGTTTTTCTCCAGCTAACCAAAGCAGAAAAGGCCTTTTAAAGCCAGTGGAAACAAGCATGTGTTTGAAATAAAAAAGGATAGCTATTTGGGATGCGCCAATTCAGGCAGAAAACCAAATAGTCTTCCTCCCACTTAGGATGCAAAGGCAAGGGGTGCTTATGAGAAGGGAAAGGGGCCAATGACATCAATAGGCGGAAGGCATTTGTATCGGTACATAGTGATGTTAATGCCAAACAGGGTTTTTAATTTTTAGTCCAGGAAGTCATTCTACCTGCTTTCTTTTTAAAATATATTTTTTAATTGATTTTCAGAGCAGAAAGGAGAGAGAAAGAGAGAAACAGCAAATAATAGGAGAGAATCATTGATCAGCTGCCTCCTGCGTGCCCCTCCCTGCCCCCCCCCCCCACACTGAGGATGGAGCCTGAAACCCAGGCATGTGCCCTGACTGGGATTCAAAGAACCGTGACCTCCTGGTTCATAGGTCAATCCTTAACCACTGACCCACACAAGCCAGGCTATACCTGCCTTGTTTACATTTTTTTGGGGGGGAACAAGTCTTCTTAAGCCCTGCCCCAGGGTTATTTGGCCGTTTTTTTTTTACATTCCAAAGGTTTGAGGCATAAGATATGCACGGAAGTCTCTCTAGCATGGCAGCCCCAGCTCCATTTTGAAGTGGATTCATTTGTTTGTTTGTTTGTTTGTTTGTATGTTTGTTTTGACACTTCCCATCAGGGTAGGATAATATCTGTTTTCTTTTGTCCTCCAAAGAGCGGAAATAGCAGTGTTTCTGGTCAGAGGAGCAGCAGTTATCGACAGAAGGATCTCTCTGAACACAGGACGATTGAGCAAACCTGTGAACCTAAAAGCAGGCACTAAAACTTCCACACCTCAACCCTCGCCCGCTCAGCATCGGGCCCCAGAAGATGGGATGACGACAGACCCATCTCTGAGGAATCTGACCGACCAGGAAGAAATTTTTAAACATACTGAGGCCACAGGGCCCTCCCCTGGACATCACTGCTCTGCCAAGAAGCCAATCTGTTTATTATTAAGCCCTAGCCCACAGCCAGGGCGACAGCCAACGCTTGCCTAAGCTGACAAAAAGAACAAAAAGAGGAATTCAGAGGGCTCCAAATGTCACCATTTCAGACAACCCAAATGGAAGTGCCCCTCCCTCGGCCCTGTTACATCACCCGACAAATTTCCTTACTAGCCCTTTCTGCCATCTAGAATATTCTTGCTTGCTTACAATTACTTTCCCCACAAAAGTGTTATCTCCTGAAGAGGAGCACCTTCAATTCAATGGCTTGTTTCCAGTCTACTTCTTGGGCCTAGAGAATGACAGGCCTCGGTAATATTTATGGAATGAGTGACTACATTAATGAACTAAAGCAAATAACAGCATCGGCTCTAGAGATTAAAAAAAAACTACAGTCTGAAAGCTATGAATTTTTTTGTTTAATCGTTTTTGCTTTTAAGTGGCTGGTAAAAGTCTAAAGAATAAGCCTATTTCCTGACATACAATTGATACGAAATTCTGAGGTCAGTGTCCACCAAGAAACTTCACTGGCACACAGCCATGCTCCTTCATCTGCCTATTGTCTTACGGCCGCTTTTGCAATACCATAGCAGAGCTGTCGCCGTGACGGAGATCGGCCCACAAAGCCAATATTGACTCTCCCTGGGCCATTTTAGAAAAAAAAAAAAATTTGCCACCTCAGCTCTCAAGTTTCTTGCTGAGGGCAAGCAGCTTGCCCTCTCCGAGCCTTATTTTTCATATCTGCCAAATGAGAACAGTAGTAGATCAAAAAGGACAGTGGAGAGCGTGCTGTCGGCAGGGGCAGGCACCTTACGAGTGGCTCAGAGAAGGCGAGGAGCTGTCATGCTCGGGGCATCTTTTTGCTAACTCGAGCTTAAAGCAAGTGGAAACAACAGCATCCCAAGATGGGGCTGCAGAAACGGACTCCACGAGTTGAAGTCGCTTAACCAAGGAGGCCCAGTGAGTGTTCGGAAAGCCTCTTCCACACGGAGGGGCTTGGTAGAGTTGTGTTCACGCCCTCCAGGGAGGGGAAACAGAGTCTGGCAGCCTGGGGAAGGCTCAGGCCGCAGCCGGGGAGCACCGTGACGTGTGGCTGTGGTTGGGACATCTGAGCCAGACAGCCCCACCCACCGTGGAGCTGTGGGCATTACCTTCCTAGTTAGTACTTCTGTGCTCAGCTGTCTCCCTGAGGTGAACGTGGGCCCATTCTCCCCATCTCTAGGGGTAGGGCCTGAATCCTCATCTCAACATCATAGGGCTCAAGGGAGGGATGGGGCAGGAAGCAGTTGAAGTGGGGGAGTCCCTATCTTCTACTTCTGAGGCCCAGCAAACAGGCACCTGCTCCAAGAGGGGTGCCTTAATTTTTTCTAGAAAACCTCGTTTCCTTTTCTCTGGGTTCCCCATTGTCCCCATCCCCTAGATGCGGCCTCCCCCAGTGTCAGCTTTTCTGTCCCGGATTCTCTGTGTCCCTCCTCCCCCCCACCTCCCCAGGGCAGAGGCAAAGCCTAACAGAGGACGTTAGTGATGTTTGCTGAGTGAGTGTACAAGCCAGTGAGCAAAGGACCAAATTGGGGGCAGGGGATGTGAGTTGAGAAAAAGAGAAAAGGGGGGAGGAAAGAATTAAGAGTGGTAACATGTATTGAAGGAGGAAAGAGGCACCGAGAGGGGAATTGCATTGCCTACGTGAATCAAGTCTCTCAAAAAGCTGGGTCCCAGATAGGCCAGGAAAACAGGGCCAGCACATGTGCACACTTCTCGTGCTGTGTAAATGTTGCAAGGCATGGTGATGCAAAACTCTGGAGCTTTGCCCCAGCTGGTCTGGCTCAGTGGGCAGAGTGTTGGCCTGTGGGCTGAAGGGTCCTGTGCTCGATTCTGGTCAAGGGCACATGCCAGGGTTGCGGGCTTGATCCCCAGTAGGGGGTGTGCAGGAGGCAGCCAATCAATGATTCTCTCTCATTGTTGATGTTTCTATCT